GTGTTTGATGACATTCTAAATTTGATAGGTTGCATCACATCTTTGTACCCCTTAGTTTCAAAAGTCCACCTTTAAGCTTCAACAAGAGAGTCCCTATTTGATAAAGGTACAACTCTTGCTCTCAATTACATAGAATATGTTGTAATGTATCCCAAATGGGGAAAAACTACTTTTTATTAAGAGAGATAATTTTTTTTATCTCTTTTTCTTGTTTTAAAATAGCACTATTACTTATTATTGGCTATTACATGTGGAAGAAATGAGAGCTACCTGACATTTACTGCTCTTGGCTACATTTGTACTGAAATAGATTTCTAAATTGATATTGTATCAAATTATCCATCATTGCCATATCTGATTGCATTTCTGTAAATAATGTCTATAACTGCTTGAAATATAATTGGCATGTATTATGCACATCTCTGAATGTTTCCATAAATACTAAACTCCATTTCTTATATTTTAAACCAAATATAGAATTTATCATTCTCTAATAGTATTTATAAACTGAATGAACAAATGGATTGTGGTATATTTTCTTACAAATTCCTCAGTAGAGTTAATGTTATATTTAATAATTATGTGTCTTTCTAAAAATTATTTGATTTTTTTTATTACAGTGTCAGATGGTAATAAGTATTTAAATCAACATCATTGTATCATTGATCTTATTAAAGGTACAATATCCAATTAGAGGCTGATATTTTATGTTATCCCAAGTAATAACCAATCAGAGGCTGATATTTTATGTTATCCCAGGTAATAACCAATCAGAGGCTGATAGTTTATGTTATCCCAGGTAATAACCAATCAGAGGCTGATATTTTATGTTATCCCAAGTAATAACCAATCATGAGCAGATATATTCTGGGCTCAAGCTAGACTTTAATTTTAGGGAGAAGTGACTTCTCCTTTTCAACATAACAGGTAGAAGTGAGAGCTCAACAGGGAGAAGTGGATATTGGTTGCTGTTGTTATTGTTATAGGGTTTTAATGCCATTTTTCATTGCAAGATAGGCTATACATGGCAGCCAGTATTAATGGTGGAGGAAAAATCCTGGAAAATCCTGGGAAGAACCAACCGACCCACCAGAAGCTACTGGCAGGCTTTCTTACTTACCCACATTAACACAAATCTGGACTCAAACTCACGAAGACAGAGGTGATATGGTAGTAATGGTCAGCATCAGCACTTTAGACCACTTGGCCACTCAGTGCCCCAGTGGATATGTATGTATGTATGTATGTATGTATGTATGTATGTATGTATGTATGTATGTATGTATGTATGTATGTATGTATGTATGTATGTATGTATGTATGTATGTATGTATGTATGTATGTATGTATGTATGTATGTATGTATGTATGTATGTATGTATGTATGTATGTATGTGTGATCTCCTTAAAACAGTGTTAATTCCCCGATGTCCATCTTCACTCTTCCATATCCATATCATACTGCTGTGGAATAGGATCAGCTTGCTTGCAAGCTATAGATGGGAATTGGATGTGCACGCCTTAGAGAGAGAGAGAGAGAGAGAGAGAGAGAGAGAGAGAGAGAGAGAGAGAGAGAGAGAGAGAGAGAGAGAGAGATTGTGAGAGAGAGAGAGAGAGAGAGAGAGAGACCTTCTTCCCCCAAACACTTGAGATAGATGAAGAATTGCCCTCATCCATACATAACATATACTCACTTATAAGATGGGTCCAACTCCAAACTGTACTGACCGAGACAGCCAGTAATCTGCTCCTGGCTCTTTGAAACCATCAAGAAGTTAAATCATCCTGACCACCCTCATGGTCCATGGGTTAAATTTATTAAAGCTGTGTAGCCACAAAAACAACTCCATTTCTGGGTGCCCTTGGCAATCTGGCCCAAAAAGTGAGCTGCAAAAGCACAGAGAGGAAGTTGACAGGCCCTTCCATCTAGCTCCCTCTCCTGCAGAGTGTATTTCTTCCACTGGTTTCTGTTTGTGTCAGACTGAATGTCTTTGGTGGAATGTTTGATGGCTGAGTCCTTTCTATGATATAAGATGGCTATAGGCTTCATTTTCAATATCACCATTTTCAAGTAAAGTCCCCGATTTTCTTCCACCAGTTAAATCTAATGCACTTAAAGAAAAGGTTACTACCTTCTTTAGAAGGGTCCCTTCTTTAAAAGGGTGCAGTAGAGCTGATGTTAAATGACCAACTCCTGGCCCTCAACTGCTGGTTTTCCAGATTCCAAGGCAAGTGTGGAAAGTCTGATCTAATTATTGACCTTTTCTCCCATAACAGATTCCTGCTGGAGGAACCATTCAAGATGGACACCACAGCCTCAGTCAAGAATGCCATATAACTAGGCAATTGGGTGAACACAATCAAGTTCACCCAATCTCCAGAATGCATACCTCACATCTCTATCTTTCCTCCACACTGGAAGTACCTCTTGTTTTGTTTGGATGGGGAGGTTTTTAATGCTCTGCCATGTGTCCTAGACTCTCCATCCAGGTCATGTGAGTAGCTGCAACCCATTTAAGGTCACTCTGCATCTCAATCCTCCAATACAGCAATGACTGTTGATCCACAATGGCAAGCTAGAGTCCCCCAGACAATCTGTTTTGCTTTTTACCCATAGTTACTAGGATGGCCTGTCTGCCAACTAGAGAGATGTGAACTTACTCCATCTCAAAATTTTATCTACTTGGGGATGAATTTCCTAAAAAAAAAAAAACCCAGAGGATTAGTCCCTTGGTAGAGAGTGGGTAAGATCCTGTCACTGTTGTAGGCACTAAGAGTAAAGACCATGTCAGCTCATCTCTCCTGGGAATTTTGAATTCCACAGAGGACCTTGTTTCCATGTGCAAACTGCACTTGTGTCCTCTCCAGATTCTTCTTGGGAAATTCTATGATTTCTCAAGGTCAGCATTTCCTGTTTCATAATCATGGAAAGAATCCACATCAACAAATTGGAAACAACTGCTTAGCTCTTCAGGGGTGCTTCCATAAAATAAAAGGTCACTTCATGATGGTCTCCTCGGACAATATGTCAGTGGTGGTATACCTCAGGAGGCAATGTACTTCTCTCTGCATGAATATTTATAATTTCCTTTGCTGGACAATTTCAGAAATAATCTGCATATGCCACATTCCAAGCATAAAGAAAGTTTTGGCAGACAGTATGTCATGGAAAGGAAATGTCATCCGCATGGAATGGCTGCTCCACCAATATGTAGCAGACTGCATTTTGAACATTTGGAAACTGCATAAATAAACTTGTTTACTAAATGATGATAAAAGTTGCCAACTGCATCATTAATTCCATGAGAAGTATAGTGATAAAAGAGTAAGTTTCACCCCCTATCCACACAGCAAGGTTATATCAGGTTACATGAGAATTATGTCAGTTTCTTTACTTTGCCAACTTTTGTTAAGCAAAAAAAAGCAGTATATGGTATTACATTACCAATATTCAAATGAAGTAAGATTTTCTGTGTGTGGGTTGGGTAAACTTGTTTCAATTTTACCTGTTACCATCAACAGGCTACTCTCTAGAAAGAGAATGAAGTATGGTTTGGTAGCATGTTCAGGGAGTTTTGGGTGATTAAGTATTCTGGAATCTTTTGGTTCACCCTAATAGGAGGATTGATTCTCATCATACAGTTGGGGTATTTTCCACCTGGAAAAGTACAGCTATGCATTTTAGCAATGGATAAGTATTACAGCATTAAAATTAGTTACCTTCCTCCCTCCCTCCTCAAACCCACCAAATCATCTGCACAGACCTGGATATTCTGCCATAATAAGCAATGGCAGATCTGGGTCTATGTAGTTTGCAGTCGGACTACAAGCGAGTATATATATAGTATGTTGGTTTGCACACTGCATTATACTGAATTTATTAATTATTTTTTACTTGTTCATTAATGTCACACAATATAATTTTAAACAATGCTAAATAAGAATAATTCACAGTTTCTGTTTTCACACTTTTGCATCATTCATATGGTATGTTATTCTCTGAAAATTTGCTAGTAATGAACTTATGGTTCCTTGTTTCTATAAACACAAAAAAGTATTCCATATATACTTGCTTATAAGTCAAGTCCACCTGCAAATTGCAGACTATGATCTGCCATTGCATAATATGTTGGTAGGTCTGGGTTTATGCAGTTTGTTAGGAATAATCATGGGAACAAACAACATAGACTCCAATCTGCAGGCTCATTAGGCTACAGCAAATTAGGATCTTTGTTGTTTGTAGTCTAACTAGGCTTATAAATGAGTATGAACCATATATAGATATTATATGGTATGGTACATTTTCTTTGTATGTTTAAATTCAACATAAGTGTATAGGATATAATCTTTGATTACCACTCTTTTTTTCCTCTACTGTAGGTGACTGATTTACTTTGTGATATAATCACCACTTGTAGCTTATAGACCACAGATATAGATGTATCAACCAAGTGGTAATGGCTATATTTGATTTTGTTTATACCCATGATAATTGATTGGCACTATTCTTTTTTGTGCAAGGAAAATGTTGATAGTTAAACAGGAAACTTTTCTTATCTACCACAACAACTCACCAGGATTTGTCAAAGGATTTTATTTCATTAAGGTTTAATTAACTAATTTAATTGTACTTGTTGGAGGGAAGATCATTTAATATTTAATAATTTAATGTTATAAGTTAAATATTCAGCTGATGTTGAAAGTACTTTTCATGCAGGGGAACAGCCATTAAGGCCTAAAATGTAGAATAGTTCCAATATGTTTGATGTGTGTGTAATTTGGATTTTTAATGTAGCTTTAACAACTTTTTAGTCATAACACTACTATGTCAGCAGTGTGGCAGTTTATAGTGATGTCTAGCACTGGGGCATGTGCTGCAGACATGTAGCATGATGTCCCACCCAGTCACATGCTGACACCAGGCCAACCAGTCCTAACACTAACCTCTTAATGCTGAGTACCTAGCATGCATCTGTGAGTGCCATTTTTGTAGTATGGTATGACTTGACCAGGGATCGAACCCACCTCCCACATATTGGGCGAATACTCTAACCACTAAGCCACCAGAGCAGTCTAATATGTTTGATAAGTTGAGCAACGATGAGAACAGAGATATTGAAATCAACATCTCTTAGCATTATTTGATAATTTTGTGAAGATTTGATTTTGATTTGAGTAATACCTTAGTCCACTCTCTTGAACTAATTCCATATTTTTGGCACTTATATTTACAACCATCAAGAGAAATCTATAAACACAGTCTGTAAATTTGTCCTTTGCTTAAAATAAAAAAAAAAACATACACTGAGATTAAAGGCTTCAGTTATCAACCTTTCCAAATGGAGACTGAATACAGGTATGTTTCACTGGTTATGGACAGATATATGTGTATATAACAAATAATCGTTCTGAACTTCACCAGTTTGAAAAGAATTTAAATACTTGCAACTAGCATTTGATGTGCTTTAAAACTTATGTCTCTTAAATAGAATAAATCAATATTCATTTGCTTTCCATATTAATTAATCACATTGAACATGAATCAAACATATTCAACTATGATGTGGAGCTACACATCTTAATTTTAATTTTCTCCTGTCCCATTTATGCTCGAATAGTTTGTTATGTGCTTTATGGCATGGCAACACAAGTAGGTTATTTAGTGCAGAGGCAACTGGGGTAAAGTGCCTCGTCAAGGACATGCTGTTGTTGCAAACCCAAGTTGATCGGGGACGGTATTCGAACTCGAACTCGAACCATTTTAATTGAGTGTCATCCTAACCACTCATCCACCATGGTTCCCACCCTGTTTTTGGTAAATGGACATTTCATTGTAATAATAAAAATAATTTTTATGGAAGTTTATAGTTATGTCATAATTCTGAAAATATAAATTATGAAATCATTTCTAAATATGCCCATTGTTGATATAGTCAATAATTTTACCATATGGGCTACACCAGCTTGGGTCCCTGTTTCTGGAGGTAAAAGCCAATATATTACTTGGTCTGCATCTTAAATTATTTATAGAATTTGTGAAAATTATATTTTGACAAATTATTGGGAATCGTTGTTAGTGTGTTGCTTGCATTAAATCTTTAGTCCTATAAACATAAGATGGCAGTTTAGATTTTATTCACCATGTGAATCAATTAAAGGTATACAATCTTGCACTGTTGATAACATAATTGCAAAATTTTAAGTTCCTAGCTAAGGTAACCTGAACTAACTTGAATTCCACTCCAGACTAATTCACTTAGCTGTAGAAGTCTAATTGATTTATTGTTACTTTATTCAAACTTTATGTATCATATTTAAAATCCATTGAACAAATGAAGTAACAGATTGAAACTTCAGACTATATTGAAAGTTTTCTTTTGGTCAAGAGCAACACAAGTAGGTAAAATTATTGATTATAAGTTGCTTATATAGTGATGTAGGAATTATCATGTTTCCTGTTGGTCATAAGATGTTAAACAGAGATGAAGGAATTACCTCTGGGTCAACTGATCTTATCAAGAGATGTATTAATTAACTTGTTTCCTAAGAGTTTTAAAACATCCCCCCTCACCACTGTATTTCTCACATTCCATAGGAGGACCTAATATAATGTAATTATATAATTAGTAGGTCCAGATCACTTAAAATGTTTAATTTCCTTCATTAGTACAAAGTTCTACAGTTACCACTGTTCTAAGGGTTGTCAAACTAAACAATCTGGCAGACTTTTGTATGACCTGGCACACAGTGATATACAAAACCTGAGGTTAGCAACTATGAAACTATCCACATGTACCATATTTCAAAATTAACCTCATTCCATACAAAAGGTGTATAGTATTGAATAATTTGATATTTTCTGAATTATGACACAATTATAAATTAAATCTATTCTGTGATAGTAATATGACTTAACTTAGGCAAAGACCAAAACAATTTACAGGTCGGCAATTTTTAAACAGCATATAATATGTATCAATACAAATTATGTATTGAAAGTTGTGTATGGTGATACATAATGGGTCCGAAATGAGCTGCCATTACTCAGCGCAAAAACAATGATAATTTAACACGTATATTCATTAAGATCTATAACTTTTGTCAGCAACCAGTTACAGAAATGTTTGTATGAATGGAAGGTTTTAACTAGCATGAAACAAGATTCTTATCTTTGACTTGTTTTTGCCATAAAATATCTGTGTTGTATGGAGGCCATTCCAGTCTTCTCCAGAAACTCCAAAGAAAACAAAATATTTTGTGCAACCACCAAACACTTTAAATAATTGTTTGCTATCAAAAGCTTTGCTTTTAAATAAAAAAATTTTGCAGTATCTTTGGAAATAAAGTTTTCATGGCATTAACCAATCAGATTTTACTCTTATCTGAGGATATTTTAACATTGAGATGTTTTGATGTTGTTCGTAAAATATTTACCAACTGTATGTATGTATGTATGTATGTATGTATGTATGTATGTATGTATGTATGTATGTATGTATGTATGTATGTATGTATGTATGTATGTATGTATGTATGTATGTATGTATGATTATAGTGAGTGTGTGTGTGTCTGTGTTTATCAAGATGGAAAGAAGACATTAAATGCACCAACAATGTGTCTTAATTTAGTTTAGCATTTGCTCTCTTTCAGAATTTATAGTAGTTAGCACCATTCTCTACATCTTTGTTTATAATAAATTTCTTTGCAATCACTAATATCTGGGTGCCTTTATTAGCAGTGTCCACTGAGACAGGTTTCCTTGTATTAAATTGCTTTCATAAATAATATTGAGCAAGAAATTAACTGCATGGTGAGGGTTGGAAATCAATACTTTACAATAAATTCAGTAGTATAATTTTTTTTAAAAAGCTAACTTTTTAATTAATTTATTTCACCCAACAAAGACATGTACAAACATTGTATTTTGTACCTAATTACATGTAGTTTAGGAGAAAAGGTTGCTAACTGTAGATTTGGACAGACATAATGGTTTCAGAAGTATGTATATTAGCAATAAAATTCACATGTTTCCAAACCATACTTTATCCCTTATTTCTCATATTTGTGTAGTTGTTTAATTTGATGCAAGACTCCGTCCAAAATATTTATCCCCATTGATGGTCTATAAAGTTGTCAATTAAATCTGGTAATGCAAGGTCGGTCAGGGGTATTAGGTGTGGTGGTGTTTATAAATTTTAACGTAGCTTTAACAATTTTTCAGTCCTATTGCTACGATGTCTGCAGTGTGGCAGTTTATAGTGATGTCTTGCACTGGGGCATCATGCTGCAGACATGTAGCATGATGTCCCATCCAGTCACATTATCCTGACACCAGGCTGACCAGTCTTAACACTCAACTCTTGATGCTGAGCGTCTTGTGTGGCAGCTGTTAGTACCATTTTTGTAAGTGTTTGGTATGACTCGACCAGGGATCGAACCCACGACCTCCCCGCAGCCGATGCAGACGCTCTTACTACTAGGCCACCTGAGCGGTTCAGGGGGATTAGGAGTGCTGGACTAAATATGAGGGTTTCGTTTCTCAGACCACTTGTCTACTTGTTTAGTTCCCTGACCCTTTCAAACCAATCATTAATGGTCTTTTGTTGTTTTCACCAAAGTAAAAAAAAAGAGTTAAATACAGTGTATACGAAACGCTAATACCCCTCCCCCAGGATATACTAGTAAAGATGTTAAAAATATGCAAAATGGTTTCACAGTGGATAAAAAACAGTTACATTTTTTAAAGTCAGCTATGATAATTTAGGGCAGGCAAAACTTTACTTAGTTGTATCTTATAACACATTTAAGTTTAACATGATATTTTGGTCAGTACGTCTTTCCGCTTTTAACAGTGGGATGTGAGACGCGTGCAGTTTTAAAAGTAATGAATTGTTAACGATTTTCTTGTTTTAAACTTTCCTTACCAACTGTTTACTTGCTCGAAATGCAGTGCTTTACTTTACCTGCTCATCCTGTCTTCGCCTCTCCGATTACTAATTGACCCATATAACAAAAAGCCGGAATTGTTTCTTATAATTGGAGGATATTATTTAATCTAAATCAGTGATGCATTCGACTTACTAATATCCACATTGCTTTCGTACTTCCTACTACCCAGGCATAGCCGTTCTAATTACTGGATTGTTCCATATAAGAGTCATTCTAATTATATCCTGTAGTTACTACCATACTTAATCGAAATTAATTATTTATTGAAACTGTGTGCATCCTTTTGGGTGGTGGGTGGGGGTGCGTGAGTATATGTGTACATTGTTGTGTCCTTTGGCACACGAATATATAGCCACTGAAGTTTTCATTTTTACAATAAATACACAAAATGAATTATATACATAACCTTTCATATCAATTTTGAAGTTTTAATCTTTGAAGAAAATATATTAGGCGATCAAATGTCCTTTTCAAAAGCAATTACCATGCTTCTTTGGTTCAAATAAGCGTTTTGAGTGTGCCAGAAATTTTGGCTCCTAGAAAGCATTACCTCAGATCTATGCTCCGCCCACTCGCTCCCCAATGATCAATCAGAACGTAGTATTGTAAATGCTCAAGCCACATAGGTAAGTTGGCAGGCAGCTACACTCAGTCTATTTGTGATCGTTCGTGTCAACAATACATGTACGTCAGTTTGTGCTACTCGTATTGTAGAAACGTCAACAAATATTGTATTAAGGCATTTGGATTTTAACAACTCAGTGTGGTCATACAGTTTGTGATATTTGCTGCATAAGCTTTCACTTGCAAGATCTTTGTTGTACCATAGGAGACACGTTCACTGGAGTATTGTTTTGCTGTATTCGAGAGCTGTGTAAGAAAGTGGGATACATATAAAGTCACAAGGAGTTAATTGCGCTCAGTTGCGAAGTTTATCATTTTGTACACGTACTTTACTATGTACTAAACATTTTGAAAGCGTGTGGAATAATAGTGTTCGTCATGTTGTAACAAATCCTAGTCAAGGAGTTCTACTTGGAGTTATATTTTATATCAGGTATATTTCATTTGGAATTTTTTTTTTTATTTCATTCTACCAGAATTATCTCGTTACACGTTGATTT